AGGCTCAGTCTGGTTACCGGTGTTGGTGATTTATTGAGCTCAAAAACTCAAAACAGGGTGCAAAAGAAACTAAACATACAAGATACTCTGGGCCTCAGCCTCCCTCCGGTTACCAGCAATGTAAGAAACAGAAAACAAAAATTGCCGCTTTTCTTCCCACAGCCCTCATTAAATAGTTTAAGCCCCTACAGGCTCTCTTATTTCTGATTTCTTCTCATTAATCGGTTTTGTCCATATATTACCTCCACAAACAATTGATGTACAAAAACAAATAATTTTTACAACTTAATTCTTTTACACAGATTCATTGACTTATTCAATTACACCAAACTGGGTTTGAACCCAGCAAAGACGCAGCCAGACTGAAGATGACAAGTCCCCGTAGCATAAACACGTACACACACACACACACACACACACACACACACACACACACACACACACACACACACACACACACACGGCTAACCCCACTGAAATATTAAGTGTGCACCCTCAATATGCCAGCAGGTAACCAGGACAGCTTGTGTGTTTTAAGTTCATGGAGCTACTGGTCTCAGCGCGAGTGTATTGGTCCTCACAAACACAGTATAACAGGAATGTGTGTGTGGCGCGCAAAGTTACAGAGGTTGTTTTAAGCGACGAGGTGGATTCGTCACAGTCACAATAACCATGACATGAAATGTTCATATCCTACAACAGGGATATTCTTCTGGCAAACGGGTAGATAAATAAGGATCTCACCGAATTTGGTGGAAGCTGCATCTCGGTCGTTACATTCGCCATCTTCCCTCTAACTGTCTGCACCTGCGCTTGGGTTCAGAAGCCTGTTAAAGCGCAGTATTTTCAGCGCCCCAAGACCATAAAGTTCCGAGACGCTGATTGGCCATTAAATTCACCTAGCAATAGTACATGATTGACAGATTCTCTGCAAATGTGGGGCTGTCTGATCAGCGCCCCCAGAACAGAGACGGTAGGAGTCTGTCTGTGGAAATCCACAAATTAATGACAGTAGATAGGGAAATGTAGTTTATATAATTTGTTTTGCTTATAGGTACACAGTCTAGAGAGTAAAACTGACATTTATGAGTTAATTTCTAAAAATATATTTTACGTTTCTGTCTTCTTATCAGGGAGGGCGGTGCCCCAGCGCCCCCTATGGGCCGGCCGCCACTGCCCCATGCTGAACAACACTCTGGAGTACTTTTTTGATATCTCAAATGCATCTGGAGATCTGGGAGGCTTCTTGCTGTCTGCTGACATTCAAATAATGGAGGTCTATGGTGACCGAGGCAGAAAGGTCCATAAAAGTCCACAAAAAACGTGTCAATATTCCTCCATACTGCTCGTCCAATGTATTCCAAGTAGGGCTGAAACGATTCATCGAGTAACTCGATTACAAAAAATCCTCGAGGAAATTTATCTGCCTCGAAGCTTCGCTAAATTTATTGTATTGTAATAAGCAATGCTGTTAAATACGCAGCACACTGGTCTAGCCGGAGGGTTTTTGTGTTGCACAACGCTACCACTTCCGTTAGCGCCTGGAGCGCTTGTGCTAAGTTTGTAGCTATGGAGGGAACCGGAGAATGCTCAGAAGGTGAACCCCGAAAGCGACAAAAAATGTCAAAAGTTTGGGAACATTTTAGGCTAAACAGAAAGGACAACACAGCGCAATGCATCCACTGCAAAGCAGAATTGGCGTACCACAACAGCACGACATCAATGTTGCAGCATCTGAAGAGAAAACACCCGCTACATGCATCCAACTCGTACACGGTTGCCAACAGGTAACGTTTATGTTCTCTTTGCTAACTACGTTGTGTGATAATCTGCCATGTTATAGATGTAAATTGAGGCACATTATTTTGCTAACGTTACATCTAAACATAGCGGTTACTTAACCGGGTGTAGTGTAAATTGTATGTGAGGGTGGAACTGAGAGAAATTATGCAGGACTTAATGTAAGTTTGTTAATAAAAATACGCAGCAACAGATTACAGGCAGCTGAAAAGCATTTATTTATTGGTGTCTTTCCATCCTGAAAAGTTAGTCTTTTCTTCTCGCTACTGTTATGTATGAATTAGAAATTTTTGATTAATATTTTTTGTAGTAATTCTATATTTGCTTATACCTAAGCAATCAAGAATAAATAATAGCATCGTTTTAATAAAAATAACAACATTTTTGCATTTTATCATGACTAGTTAAGGCTGCAGAACTCTGTACAAACTCAAACCTTTACATTTAGACATTTTTATAAGCATATTTGTGAGCCTGCCACTTTATTATTTGAATATAATTTAATATCTTATAACTTTTCTTCAGGTTAAAGCAAACTACTGTTACAAGTAAACTTTCTAAACTACAAACATTTAACTGTTAGGGATGCTCAAAAAGGAGATATTGGACTGATCTGGACTAACTGGTGTTATTGCAGATTTGCCAATAGTTTATTTTATAATTTTTTTTTATCCGATTACTCGATTAATCGTAAGAATAATCGAAAGTTTACTCGATTACTAAAATATTCGTTTACAACAGCCCTAATTCCAAGTGTCCTGAGTGGGTAGCGTCCGTAATTTACTCGAAACTAAGTCATTTAGAATGTTTTTAGAGCATAAACAGTAGTGTATAGGATTTCCTAAAAGCGCGTTCACGAGTCTACGGAAACCGCGGCAGACCAAACCAGACGAAAGTGCGCATTCAGCTCGGCAAAGAACTCATGCTCTTCCTCAACACTGAAGTCCTCAGACATTTTTCTTTCGTTGTTTCTTTCTTTGCACAGGTAAACAGCACATTTCTTCTTCTACGCTTGCATTATCGGCAGAGCAGACGCTGAAAGCGCACTTTCATCTAGTTTGGTCTGCCGCGGTTTCCGTAGACTCGTGTACGCGCTTTTAGGAAATCCTACACACTACTGTTTATGCTCTAAAAACATTCTAAATAACTTGGTTTCGAGTAAATTATGGACGCTACCCACTCAGGACACTTGGAATACATTGGACGAGCAGTATGGAGGAATATTGACACGTTTTTTGTGGACTTTTATGGACCTTTCTGCCTCGGGCGCCATAGACCTCCATTATTTGAATGTCAGCAGACAGCAAGAAGCCTCCCAGATCTCCAGATGCATTTGAGATATCAAAAAAGTACTCCAGAGTGTTGTTCAGCATGGGGGTGAGTAGAAAATGAAGGCTAATCATGTTTTGGGTGTACTATTCCTTTAAGTGTGATGAGAAGAGAAACAGCAGAAGGTGCCCATCTTGATTTCATTTGTTTTGTTTTTTGTAAGGCAAAGTCAGCCAGTGATGCAAGTTCATTTAAAATTGAGGCAGACACCCTGTCTACTTTTAAGGCTAGGCTTTAAACTTTCCTTTTTGATAAAGCTTATAGTTAGAGTGGCTCAGGTTATCCTGAGCTATCTCTATAGTTATGCTGCTATAGGCTTAGACTGCTGGAGGACATGGAAACCACTTTTCATCATACTATGTCATTCTAGCTCTATTCTCCAATTCTGCAGTGTTTAATAGTTCAACCTCTAACTTCATGCTCGTTATACTCTTTCTTATTATAGTATCTTTATCTGGTCTCTTCCTGTTTGGCTGTGATACAATTGCGGAGGGAAATACGAGCTGGGCCGCTGCCATCAAACTTTCGATTGTAGAGTTGGGCCTGTTTTTCTGTGCTTAGTCCTGTTTTTCTTCAAAAACATAGTTATAGGCTCAGCTTTTAAGCGTCTCAAGATGAAATGTGTTGTCAATTCATGCAATTTGAATTAAATGAATTAAATTGTATCTGTTCAAGTTGTAGCTCTATATGAAAACAGTTGGATGGGTTTTCAAAAAAAAATGTTAAATGTTATATTTGAAGATTTTTACAGATATAGGAAAACATTTTTGAGAAGTTTGTACAGGCATCTGTTAGGGGGGCATCCCTGGCAGTCTTTCTGAACCTTTGTTATACATTAGCATCGCATTTAAATTAATTGCTATGAAATATATACATTTTTCCCAAATAGCCAGGCCTAAATTAGAGAATTAATAGAAATATTTATATCCAGAACAAGCAAGGACCATGACAGCTTTTCTGCAAAGACTGTTAAAAACAGGCAGCTTTGGTTAATATGAGCTTTCTGTAAAAGAAGGAAATAAAGGTGTCCTAGAAAGACTCTCATTCATGAACCATTTATACCATAAACACTGATAAAGGAGTAAACAGGTTTCAGCCTTTTAGACATCCATCCATCCATCCTCTACTGCTTATATTGTCAGGGTCATGGTGGAGCAGGTGCCTATCTCCGACTGTATGTCACATGCCTTTTAGACAATAAAGTGGAATTTCTGGCCCACATAGCTGCTGAATAAAATCAACACAAACCAACACGCATGCTTAAATGTACAGTGAAGTGAGAACATGGGTCTCTCTCCCCCCCAGCTGTTCCCTTCAGGGTCTGAATCAGACAGCTGTCTCTGAACAGAGCATGCTCTGTTGGGAAAAAAGAACCCGCTCAGCACATTGTTCTGAGTTGCTCCCTCTGCAGGGTTCTGTCAATCGACCCAAACAAAGGAAAGTGAAAGGACAGTGAAAACACTGCAGCAAACAAAACACCACATTAGCAATCCCCACTTTAAGGCTTTTCTGGTCAAATTTCTTTGAAGGCAGCCATCTTTGTTTCTATTTGCATCCTTCTAGGTCTAATACAGCGTCATAAAAGAAAGCTGCTGCTTTTCAGTTAGTGCAGCAACCCAGAGGTAAAGGCAGAACCTCAGACTGCCATATATACTCAAGGTATTTTATTGACTTTATTTAGAAAATTATCTCAAAATAAGAGTGTTTCAAAAAATGACTGAGAAAGTAAAACCTGCAGAACTATTACTAGAACCTGATGTAACAATTTCTGAAGTTTTGGGGATTGATGTGCTTCAATCAGGTTGAGTCTGACGTCTAAACTGAAATGAAAAGAATCCGCAGAATCTGCAGAATCCGCCATCACGACTCACCCAGACCAGAAGCGTAGATGGCCTTCACAGACTTCTTCATCTTGTAGAGAACGCTGCGATCTACATCCAGAGCCTGAACAGAAAAACAAGCGCATACAGAAAGTCAATTAGTGGGTGGAGGATGATGTGAAGATATTTAACATTTCTATGATATGCTTAAAGATATAATTTGGTGGCTGCTGAAAAGCAAATCAAAATGAAGCTAACATAGAAGGAATAAACAGATTGTTTTTTATATGTCAGCATCTCAGAAGTGTGATTTGTATTTGCATTCATCCTCTACTTCGTCAGTCCTTTAAGAACACCACTTCATGTCTCCACCAGCTTTCAACATTTAAACTTTCTTTGCATTCTAGCTCACTCAGACTTGATGGGAAGCATCTTTTTCAAGTCTTTTGGACATTCTAAATTGGAGAAAGTTTTGGACTTTAACTAGGCTGTTCTAACATATGAAGATACTTCAAACCTAAACCAGGCTTCCTTAATTCCAGTCCTCAAGGGCCAGTGTCCTGCCCCTTTTTAGATGTGCCAGCTTCATCAAACCTGGATCAAATAATCACATTCTTAGCAGGAGTCTGGAGAACTACAGCCTGAGAAGGTAGTTAGGTAGTTTGAATCAGGTGTTGAAGCAGAGACGCATATAAAAGGTACAGGACACAGCAGACCGTGGGGGCTGAAAATGAGGAAGCCTGATCTAAACTAGGCTTGTCCCGATCCGATCCACGTATCGGATCGGACGCCGATATTGGCAAAAAAATGCGTATCGGCAAAGCATGTAAAAATGCCGATCCAGTTTAAAAAAAAAAAATCCGGTCCGTATTTTCCAGTTTCGCCGATTGAAACAATCCATTCCACTATTTTGCGCCAGTGTTCCCCGAATCCGGTCCGCATTTTCCAGAACACCTTCAACACACCCACAGGTCTTTTTGGGTCTGTCTCCCGGCCTAACCATTAAAACAGGTGAATTGGAAGATAGCGGGGAAAATGTCAGCCGTGTGGGATTATTTTATCCTGCACGATGTGTAGATGGAGACTAGGTGTGGAGGACATTGGGGAGTATAAAGCATTTTTGTGTAACTATTATTTGCACAGATTTTTTTTAAGCAGTGTCTTTTTTCAAGAGTAGAGTCCTGATTCTAAGTTAATAGACTATTTTCCACTCTTGTCTGTTTTGCATTTTTATTACAACTTACAGTAATACTTGCACCTTTAACTGTTTACGGTTTTACTGTTCACTGTGCAATATTAGATTGCTATTCATAATTTTGTCCAGTTTGTGTTTATCTCTTAATAAACAGGTAAGTTTGTTGTTACCAAGCATTGTGTTTTATTCAATCTCACCTAATTCAGCTGGCTAGATGTTATCAAGAGTACTAAAACCCTTTTCAACATGAGTCTTACAACTAAGGCTAAATACTTTAACTTAAACTTAAATACATGCTCAGATAGGCTGGTATCGGCCAGTATCGGCATCGGATCGGAAGTCCAAAAACAATATCGGTATCGGATCGGAAGTGCAAAAACCTGGATCTGGACATCTCTAATCTAAACCATCTGTTGCATCTCTGGCTGAATATTCAGGGTGCTTTTCCTGCTTTAAGGTGAATCCCGCCCGTTTCAGGTCTTCCACAGTCTCTAAAGCTACATTTAAACTGCAGGCAAATTTGAACCAAATCTGTTCTATATGATCATAGTACTGTCAGCTGCTGTAGTTAAACAACTTAAAATAACACAGCGACTTAGACTAGGTGGAAAGATTTCATTTCTGATAAAGCTAAGTTATAGTGGCTCAGGTTATCCTGAGTTATAGCTATGTTAGGCTGCTATAGGCTTAGACTGCTGGAGGACATAGGGACCACTTTTCATGATTTTGCTTCACCCCATCTCTATTCTCTTATTCAGCAGTATTTGTTTTCAATCCCAACTTTATGTTCTCTCTGCTTTTATCTCTCTTTTCTGGTTCTGTTTAGTCATGACAACATCCTGAAGGGAAACATCTGAGCTGCTGCCATCAACACCCATAATCCTATCATCTTCAGCTTTATCTCGGACCGGGTGAGGGGGAAGCAGTCTCAGCAGACTTCATGACTTCCCTCTCCCCAGACACCTCCTACAGCTCCTCCAGGGAAAGGCTGAGACTCTCCCAGGCCAGCCGAGAAACAGTCCCTATAGTGTGTCCTTGGTCGTCCCCTGGGCCTCCACGTTGAAGCGGTATATCATCCACAATATCCAGATACCTGAGGTACTCAGGGCAGATCTCATCCATCTACAAAGCCAACTCCTTTGAATTTATTGACCCCATAATGGCTTTAGCCTGGGTGATGAATGAATCAGGCCTAAAGCAGCCCGTATCTTCCTTTTGAAGGCATGTCAGCCGGGTTGAGGAGATCCTTAAAGTATTCCCTCTACCATCTGTTTGCCAGAATCGCTTTGAGGCCGACAGATAGTCCGTCTTGGTACTAAAATTTCTCTATGACCTCTCCCAACTCCTCCTAGGCCTGTGTTTTTATCTCTGCATTTGAGCCTCTGTGGAGTTAGTTCACGCTACCTTTGCCAACATAGAAAGTAATTATGGATCAGTGCTTCTGAGTTGCTTTTGTGCGTCTGCTTCTATACCCTTGAACCCCCTACAGAAAGCCAAGCCTGGTTCTGCTGGAGGTTTCTTCCTATCAAAAGGCAGTTCTTCCTGCCCACTGTTGCTGCATGCTTGGTGTGAGGGATCGCTGTAGAGTCAACCACACAACAGAGGAGAATGCATCCTGTCATCACATACTCATCTAGGAGGGGCGAATCCTTCAAAGTCAATGACTGGACACAATCAGACAGTTTTCCTTGGATCTGTGGGTGATCTGATTGACATATTACTGTAAAGTGCATTGGGATTACCTGTGCATCAAAATTTTCGCCCAACAACAGTATTGCTTCCACAAACGGTATACTGCTGTTTGATGTTTACCCTATCCTTCTGCTCATGCGGGTCGCATTGGGGCATTGAAAAAGTTTTGATTGGAGTCCAATTAGGTCTGCATTTAAGTAGTAGTCTGAATGGCAATGCAGAAAAATTGGACCCAAGCATCAAGACCTACGGTGTGAACGTAGCCTAACCAGTTTTTCCTTTGCACCTGTCCTGCAATTAGGAGCTGATCCATTAACCTGACCTTCCATTGAAGTAATTTTGGGAAGGGGCGAAAATACTGGTTAGCTGATTGGCCTATGTTGGTGATAGACGGGCCAAATAAACCAATCAGATCAACGAAGCATATGACGTACTAACAGAGCGACGACGAAAACACAACCACAAGCCAATTGATAGATCAAACTCTTGCCGAAACCAGTCGGGAGAAGAGCAAAAACATCTTTTCCTCTGAGAAAAGCCTCCAGAGCAGTGTTTTGCTCTTCTTTCAGTGAAGAAATACTCTGTAATTCCGATAAAACTTGCTCAACAGCCACGCTAACGCTAGTTTCATCGGCTGAAGCCGCCATGTTCTTTAGACTGAACTGTCGCGCTTCTCATTGCTTCACACCTCAACCGGCCTCAAAGCCAACGCTGATTGGACGTTCGTTTGGTGAACGGCTCCAAATTTTCTTCAACGGAGAGTCTCCAGACTGATTAGCCAGTGAAACCTTGAAAGCTCGCGAGATCAGGATGGTCTCACGAGGCTACTAATCCATTGCAACTCTGCAAATATGTAAGAAACAACTCCAATGATTTTCCATTTCCTATTTCAAGGTTAAAGCCGAACTTTGATTCAGAATGAACAAAGTTTAAAGGACAGCGGGTCAAGACTGCAGATTTTCTGTCTGAAAATATAGCAGAACCAGATCTTGACCACATGAGATTTATTGCTAAAACATCACACGGCTCTCTTTTAGTATGTTCAGTAGTCCGAGCCTTTTAGAATTTGCTTCCATCAAATTCAAAGACCGAGTACATTTCTCAGAGAGCAATAAATTCTCCAGACAGAATAAAAACATGGTGTGGTTAAATTAGGTGCCCTTCCTCAGACACTGAAGAAAAACAACTTCAGAGTAAAGGAGCTGCGGTTTTACTTCCTTCAGCTCCTGCTGGATGACTCATCTGGAGCAGGCGCTGCATCCTGTCCTCTCTGCCCGACTCAGACACCCTATCCAGCTGCAGCTCAGACCCCCCCCCAGTCACACCCACAGCCGCAGTTTAACAGCCAATCTCTCTGAACAACCACAGAACAGTGCTACCGCAGGTTCAGCTGCTCCACTGTGGAAACCAAAGGTCCATTTCTGTTATCAACCTGACCACAAAGGTGATTTAACGCTGAGAGCAACTTAGAAAACTCTCCTTCAGAAGTTAGATTCAAGTAGGGAAAGATCATTTGTATATTTTCTCCATGAAAGGAAGCCTAGGATTTCAGGCTGAAGGTTTTTTTTCACAATACTGGAAATAAGAAGAACAACAATTCTCCATCAAAGGTCTGAAAGCTGCAGATAATCAAGCAGATTGGAGAATATGGTTGTCAAAAGTATTAATACCCTGAAAAGTATTGATCCTCAAAGGCTGTATCCAGATACAAAATTCATTTGGCATGGTATGGCTACTAAATACAAGCTTTGTTGTTATACTTTTGCTACTGTTGATTTTAGATTTTCAATTCGTTTTAAAGTGGTAGCCATTCAAAATTTCCCCACTTTCATTGATGAGCCCCTGGCTGGCAAAGTTTTCTCTGCAAGGAAAACTAGTTGATTGCATCGACTCATTGACTCTTCAGCAATCCCTCACACTAAGCATGCTTGTAGCGACAGTGGAGAGGAAAAACTCCCTTTGAACAGGGCACTACAGAAAAAAATTCAACCTGATCATACATTCAGATTTGTTCAAAGTTTTCTATCTAAAGAAAACCAGCTAAGTTCTAGATTTCTTGCATGTTACAACAATAACACCTCCGCTCTCTGCATACAATTACTACTATGAAGTCAGAATTGTGTCAAGACAGGAATATATGTAATAAATACTAAAATAAGCAGACACACAAACTAGCTATGAACATTTTATACGTGCAAATTCAATGCCATGAGGTCTGACTTATAATCTATGTCAGA